TGCACACCATTCTTTGTAAACCCTAGAAATGGTTGTGCGTGAAAATCCCAGTAACTGAGCAGATTGTGAAATACTCAGACCGGCCCGTCTGGCACCAACAGCCATGCCACGCTTTTGTTTTAAAGTTATTAGTCAAGGCTCGGGTGGTATTACGGTAATAAGGTAACAAAGCTTACCACAGTATTTTGAAATCCTTACCAGATACTTACCACATAATTCCTCGCACCTGAAGAATTTTATCATTAATATTTAAAAATGCCGGAAAAATGTTTTTAAAAATACCATTTACCTAGGTATAATGTCTGGACAGTATGAAAAATTAGATATGCGGGTACCTCCAACCCTCCTTATACAGCTGCTCACCATAGCTAGTACAACAACAGCTATTCTTCCTCTACTCTTTCATCATTGGCCACTGATCTGTGAAAGTCTTGGCTGCCACCTATTGGAAATAATCAATTATTTTGCACATGTGCAGTCAATATGCACAGATACTCATGGTTTCCATCAGACAAAAATCTGGGCTACACGCACGCATGCCAGTCACACCCATCCACAGCCAACCCTTGATGATGATGATTTACATCATTTACTCTCGTCCACAACCAAAAGTGTACGAAAAAAGTATGAATTGGCCTTAATGCTCTCATTCAGGATGAATCTCAATATGTGCACTTGACCATACTTGTGTACTCGTTAAGTTGTTTAGAAGAAAAAAATTGTAATATCAAAACGCATAACCTTTCAAATCATGAGGTTCCATGAGCAAATGCAATGGGCAAAATTTGAGTTCAGTGTATCAACGTTTACTGGGCGCTCAACGTAGCTGAAGTCTTTGGCATTTGTCATGTGCAATTGTGCATTGTGCTAATTGTGCAATATGCATACACTACATCCTGCTGCTCCCACTTATATAATCACACTTTCCTGTTCTTTCTTGAAATATAAAATAATGCTGTTGAATTTGTAATTCTTTATATGTTTTGTTTTTGTTTGATATTGCTGTAACGTACCATTTGATGATTGATGTCAGAAGTATAGAGTGTTGACTGTAATATTGACTTAAATTTTGACTTTTAAAATTGCTGTTCTACAGCAAACCACTGTTGCTTTTTAGTGGAATATGGTGACCGCTGTAGCAAAGAAGGCAGATACATGCAAAGACTTCTGATTGATTGATTGGGAGGATGTTGACGAATATTGTTGGAAACCAGCTACCAACCAACGAGCAGGTCCTGGGATGCCTGTTTTTCTTCTTGACAAAGGAAAACAGAACATTGTAAGACAGTGCTTCCCAAACTATCGACGAGATATTTCAATTCTGGCTTAATGCCAATGTACCTATGACTCAGAAGCCAAACGCCATCTCCAAGCTTAAGTTGTTGTATGAAGCTTATGTCGGTTTGTTAAAAAACAAACCAAGGAAGTCTCAGATACAAAGGGATAACGAGGAAAAGTTAAAAAATTGCCTAATACAACTGCTTGACGTGGCATACGTAGAAGCAGAGAAAAAGATAACTATCCGCCAGGACTGGGATTTTCTTGTCGATCAGTGTGGGCCACGGAAGATGATAATGGTGGGAGAAGATCTGGCTTTCATGAAACAGCAGGAGAAACAAGATGCCAGGGTCGCCGACCCGAGAGATGGGTTGCAGAGACCAGCAGAGTTGCTGAAATAGTGTTAAGTGCAGCCATTCCTGGTGCATCTTAGGTCTCCAGTTCCAGTTCTGAAGAAGCTACTGAACAAGACTTTGCAGATGGCAGCAGTTATTGTCACTCCAGGTTTGAAGTAACAGAAGCAGGTCCAACAACATCTGACATCTGTCCACCAAAAGTGATGAAACTGGACCCGCACAGAGTCATTGATGATAATCAGTTCGCTGCCGCTTTGCTTTGTCAGCAACTTCAATTCATGAAGATCGCAAATCAGGCCGTGTCACGATTGGCAACGAGATAAAGGCTGACTTTCAACCAGGCACACCGCTAATTGTCCACTTGGATGGGAAGCTGCTTCCTGAATGGCATGGCTTCCAGTTGTCATCTTGGGTAAGGATGTGGAAAAGCTGCTTGACATTCCGAAGCTAGCACGTGTGACTGGAACAGCTATGGTGCAAGCCGTTCTTGAGCTTATAGATGAATGGCTGAACCTCAAAGACTGGGTGGCTGGCCTCTGCATTGACATAATGGCAAGCAACACAGGCATCAATACAGCGGCCTGTACCTTGATTCAGCAATCATGGGGGAAAATGCTTCTCTTCTTAGCTTGTCGCCATCATGTACATGAAATCATCATCAGCAGCATTTTTGATACATTTTTTGCATCCAAAGGGCCTGACATTAGCCTCTTTGCACGGTTCAAGGCACACTGGCAATTACTGGACCGCAACAACTACTTACCTCTGGAGCTAGAAGCACTCACAGGAGCAGACTCTGATGTGACTAAAGCAGAGAGAAAGTGGCTGACTGAAACTCAATCCAAAATGGTTGAGTTTCTCAGTCATAAACTTTCAGGTGTGGACCAGCTAAGGGACGACTATAAGGAGTTCGTTGAACTCAGCCTAATCACATTAGGTGGAGTTCCTGCAACAGAAGTCTGCTTTTGCGCCCCAGGGGCTTGCCACCGTGCACGGTGGATGGGAAAGGGGATCTATTGTTTAAAGATCTATCTTTTCAGAAAGCAGTTCAAGCTTACTCCTGAAGAGCTGGATTCCCTTCGTCGCATCAACATATTCGCCTCCACCATTTAAGTCAAGCACTGGTTAGAGTCTTCAAATGAAGATTCTAACCATGTTTAGGATATTAGCATATAAACATGTGCAGTCTATCATCTTTCTCTGCTTCTATTATAGATCAGGACACAAACAGATGGAATAAAATGCATCTTCTAAACATACAGTATGATGTTGAGTCAGAGTATAGGAGGCTAATGTAGCTTAACATTAGCAAGACAGTTTTTGGTGGATTTCTGAAGGGAGGAGGAGCCACTGAGATCAGTCACAATGTAATGTGAAGAAGGGGTGTCCTACAAGAACTTGAGCAGCAGACAGGATTGGGCATGAACAAAGCAGGCTAAGGCCTGTTCTTTATGAGGAGGATCAGGTCATTTTATGTGTGCAGCAAGCTGCTAGAGATGTTCTACCAGTCTGTAGCAGCCATTGTGGACTGCTGGGTAAGCAGCATCAGTTCAGATAATGCCAAGTGTCTGAACAAAGTTATCATGATACCCAGATCTGGCACAGAACTGGCCATGCACCCAGTGGAGTTAAAGGGAAGAAGATGGTGAATAAAATCAGAGAACATCATGAAAAATTCTACCCAGCCCCTCCACAGAGTACTCTTTAGCTACTAGATTATCCCACCCACTAGAGTGCACTAAAAACAGTACTGGGGATCTTTTCTATATTGAGCCATTACACTTGGGCAATATCACCAATGTCTGTCTGTTTGTCTGTCTGCCTATTCTGGTAGTGTTTCCTTTTATCAAAACAGGTAGATAAAGTACATTGGATCTGGAATTTCCACAGTTTTTATTATTTACTGAAAGTTTTCTACTTCCAATACATTTTTGAAACAGATTATAACAAACAATTCTTCAGTTTTAAAATACAATCAATACAGCCAGTTGATTATTAAGTAAACATATAGTTAGTGCATATCTATGATCCTCTTTTTAACTGGTTCTTTGTCAAAGATCAAAATTGTTGATGCTGTTAATATCACTTCATAACTTTATACAACAGATATAAAAAGGGTTTACAGTTTACAGTTCTATCAGTTCTATTTGTGCTTCAGCAGAAGAGTTAGTAAGCTAGAGTTCAGACTTCAGAGTTAGGTGAAGTAATTTGATCCTAAACAGTGATAGGTACAGTACCAGTCAAACATCTGGACACACCTACTGAAAATAATTTGTTTTTCACCAAGATAATGTCCCTAAGCACACCTTGAGGTTATGTAGCAAGTATTATCGTGTGAACAAGGAAAGAGATGGAGTGCTGTGACAGATCACCTGGCCCCCACAAGAGTCTAATATTTGAGAAAAATTTAACGTATTGAACACAGTTTTTTTGGTCGTTACAGTATTTGATTTGCATTACGTCGTCACCTTGAGGCCTTTTACCATAAGGTGAATAACATAGTTAAATATAAAAGCAGGTGTGACTCACCTTTTGATTGTCACTCTAAATTTGGACTGTCATATGCCACTAACTCAAATTGCTTGGGTGAAAATGATTATGTTTCTCCCAATTTGTGATTCTAAATGCTATGTAAGTGATCTGACATAAAATGTTGATCCAGGGACCCTCTGAAACACTGAACACCATGGGGGCAGGTGGCATGCACTAATTTGACAGTTTCAGTAAGGAAGTTCCAGAGCCTTCATCAACTTCATTTCTAGAAATCACATGTTCTGCTGACCCTAGTAATTTAATAACTGTGATTGTGTTTTCATTCTACTGGGTCAACCATGCTTTCTCTGTGTTCTTCTGTCTCATGGTGTGGGACAGCAGGTGCTATATATTGTGAGGGCAGATTTACGGGTGAAATATTTAAACAGTTCTGAACTTCCTGAGCGGTTTTTCCCAGCATGCCCTGCACATCACATACAAAACGATACACATAGCGCTTTCCTGCTGTCTTGTGGATGATGTTCTTGTGGTAGTAGTAGCGTAGGCCACGGCTAAGCTTCTCATAGTTCATCTTGGGCTTATTTTTGCACTGACCCCACCGCTTAGCTACCTGGAACAGGATGAAATGGGCAATGGTATGAATATGACAGATAAAATGGCTGGGTAAGTGTGACATATAGTAACAAGGGTTATTGACTGGATAATAAAGCTGAAGAAAGACCAGTAGTTGTAATTATTGTTAATTAATGTAATTATTGTTTATGGAGAAGGAACAGCAAAATTCATACTTCAGTATGTTGGTCACATTTTTCACATATTATTTTGAGATTAGCTCATTTGTTTTGTAATCAGTGATTATGTTAATTGATGCTAAAATAATCTGATATCCAACTATAACAAGGATATTCAACATCATGTCTAAATCAGTCTACTCATGGACAGGGCTGGTCATTCCTACAGGCAATCTAATCTGAGGGGACGCCAGGTATCATATTGGAAGATGCTACTTGAACACAAAAAGACCTCTTGCATCTGGGAGAATTTTGGATTCCATACCTCAGCAGGGTCAGACATCTTGAATTCCCAGCCATCTCCTGTCCAGCTAATGAAAGAACGGCAGGCAGAGTCCAGGAGGAGTTCAAGCAGAAACTGCCACAGTTGCACTGGCCCTGAGCCTGGGTGAGTAATGACAAGATGATCATAAAGATTCCATTTTCTCTGATAAATGCTTTATGGTAAAGCAGTATTTTTACACGTCATAATTAGTTATTTTTAAATGTAAGTAGTTGGAATCATCGAGTAAAGATTAGTATTTGGAAAGGAAAAATACAATTATCTTTACTCCTTTCATTTTTTACTTTTACAGCTGCAAACCCCAATAAAACTTGAAATATCATATAGAAACATGCCATTTCTCTGTATAATGGACAAAACTGACTTCCTTTGTAATGTACTGACAGGCTACTATCTAACCTGTGTAAGCTGACATTTCAGTCATTTCAGTGTTTGATTCTGTTTTTAGAGAGGCTGTACTTCTGTGCTTCACCACTTGAGGGCAGTGTTGATCAGAGGACTGAGAGTCAGCAGCCGAGGTACAAGATGGAGGTAGGCCTTCTGGAGGTGGGCAATAGCTAGGAGATGGATAGTCAGCCCAGAAGCATTTCTGGTGATCCGTCTCAAACCTCGTGGTACTACAGTGAATGTGGGTTCTGTCAGGATCTGTATAGATAGAAAATGATCAGCAATGGTAATGAATAATTCTGAAACCTATGATCATCTTACTTATTCTATTTTATGTAAATTCTAAATTGTCGACCAAAAAGTCTTTCTAAATTTGGCATATCATGCTGTGCATTACTGATTTATGCTGATATTAAACTTTAACATATTACAGTAAAATCCCGTTATAGTGAACTTGCTTGTAACGGAATAATGATCAGCAATGGTAATGAATAATTCTGAAACCTATGATCATCTTACTTATTCTATTTTATGTAAATTCTAAATTGTCGACCAAAAAGTCTTTCTAAATTTGGCATATCATGCTGTGCATTACTGATATATGCTGATATTAAACTTTAACATATTACAGTAAAATCCCGTTATAGTGAACTTGCTTGTAACGGAATATCGTCTATAACGGATGAGGTCTGCTGGTCCCAGCCGCGCGCCTTTAAGAACATGCAGAAAAAGCATTGGATATAGCGGACTCGCTTATGACGGAATTTCGCTTATGATGGACAAACAATTTGGTCCCTAGGGCCGCTTTTAGCTGTAGTTTTGTTTGGCTATAACGGACATGCAGGCTCTGCCTACAAGGCGCGTGGCATGCCGGTGATATCCAGCGCAGATACGTAGTTGGAATTATTAATAGTCACGCATCTGGTCAGTTAAAGTTGGATTACTACATGTACAATATAATAATGTAATATAATAATACCACAAATGTGTCTGCTGGGGTGTGGCATGAATAAATGGTGCCTGTAATTGTTTTCTGGGCATACGGCAACTCTGGATATAACGGACTTTGGATATAACGGACTGTTTTGCCAGGTCCATTGAAGTCTGTTATAACTGGATTTTACTGTATTTCCATTACCATTAACACTACCAAAAGTAATATTGATTAAAATGACCTGCAATCAAGAGCAACCATATAGGACATTTATTTGAACAGTTAAAGTGTATTGTTTTTCTTTGTAAATGTAATAAAATCACTGATTAGCAGCAACTATGTTTTATAGCTGAAAACCTTGTATTGTTATGTGTGTTGCATTCCATATTCTAGGCATGTATGGTACTTTTCTTTGTGTTTGTGTTAAGTATATTGCACATTTCTCACTCTTCCTCACCCAAGTGCTCCAGATTAGTCATGCTGTTGGCTTCCTCTTGGTAACTTTCTGTCCCTGGACGGTAATGGCCTTGTTCAGCCACCACTTTGGAGCTGAACCCCCCCCCATTCTGTGTTTGAGGACAAGGCGGCAGCAGATTCTGATAGGTGGGTCCAGACCCCTGAAATCCCACTTGGAAGTTGTCCAGAGTTGTAGTACCTGAGGTAATATAATGATGATGATGATGGCAAAAACTATTATTATTATTATTATTATTATTATTATTATTATTATTAACAACAACAACAACAACAACAACAACAACAACAACAACAACAACAACAACAACAACAACAACAACAACAACAACAATAATAATAATAATAATAATAATACTTCATATCAATAACACAGGTTTAGAACTCACCATTTGTACAAGTTGCCCAGTAGTTGAATTCAGAGTATGGATCCAATCTGAGTGAAGTGGAGTTACTGAAACCAACTAAGAAAAAGAAAATAGATTTGGATACATTCCTGTTTTAGCTGAAAATACATTTTGTTACAATGAAAACATATCATAAAGACATGGCATGGTGGCCCACTCCTCCAAAACTGAGTGACAAATCCCAGCTGTGCTCCTGCGTTGTTCTCCCCATGTTGTTCTACCCGTTTTGTTCTCTCAGTGTTGCACGGATTTCCTCCAGTTATTCCCATTTCCTTCCACAGCCCAAAGACATGCACCAAGGCTCATTAATGTCTCTTAGTTGCCAGCAGTGTTTATCTGTGTGTGTGTGTGTGTGTGTGTGTGTGTGTGTGTGTGTGTGTGTGTGTGTGTGTGTGTGTGTGTGTGTATTTGCCCTGGTCATTATGGCCAGAGAGTAACACTGCCTTCTGCCTCGTGTTGCCTGGGATGGGCTGTGAGGGCCCCAGTGACACTGACCATAATACTTTGTTAGAAGATAGATTTTCATAGTATATACATGACAATAAAATCTCTTATATTCAATGTAATTATTGTTCATGAGGAAGTAATGGCAAATAACACATGTTCAGGATTATTGAAACAATATTTAGGCTTAAGGTTGAATATTTCCTGAATACCTTTATGGTCATATGATCTGAGAACTTTTGGATGTTCCCCATGGCTCATTGCATACTGCTGCTGCACTGACCCATTGGTATCTATCAGCAATGAGAGGTCTTCACCATCTAGAAACAGAAGTATGCACATATTGTATACACTGTATTCCAAGAGTTATATAATGACAATACCAACTTAATAGCTATTATAGTGCTCAAGATAGCATAGGGTGACCAGATAATCCATGTCAGGGAGGACACTCTGAGATAGGACAGGAATTGTAAATGACCATTTCAATTAAACTGACCTGGATTTCACTTGAGCACTGAGTTCTTGCTGTGTGTTGATTGGTCAGTCTCCTATAATCATGCATGTGTCACTAATGCTAATGTAAAACAGCTGGATGAGTCTTTCAGTCAAGGAAACAAACCAGTCAAAGCACAAGAAGAGCTGAACTCTTTAGCCGAGCACAGGAGCCTTTTAATTTGGAAGTAGTTTGTAAAACCCGAAGTAGCTCAAAGTGTCCTCCCTGACATGGATTATCTGGTCACCCTAAAATAGCAAGATAGCAGTCAATGCCACCATTGTACACAGTTTTGAATCACCTATCATTACTCCTTTAAGCGCAAAAGAAAAAATGCCCAGTCTCGATGACACACATATCTATCTTTATGAAACAGGGTTATTATCGTTCACGAAAACTAACGAAATAACGGAAAACTAAATGATAAAAAACATCAACAAATTAAAATAACAACGAGGCTTCACGAAAAAACAATAACTGAAACCGTATAGTGTACATTTACAAAACAAACTAAAATAAACTAAAATTACAGAATAAATGTGTTCAGTTTTCATTTTTGTCAATGTATTTTATACATAACTCTAGGTGGATGATTTCCACCTGCTGTCGTCTGGCTTGAGAAACAGAACCGCATATGTGGAGCATGGTATGTGAGCGGAGCAGAACGGGAGCGAAAGTCATATTTGAAGAAAAAAACAGGAGCGTTACCTTATCTCTCGCTCTGACTCGCTCCACTTTCGCATACCATAGCGGTACCGGACCCACTCACAGAATGATTCTGAAGCATGACTGACCCAGAATCTATCTGTGTATTATTAGGTTACCTAGTGAGTCAGTGCCGCACCCATGTGTTAAGGGCTTTTTTGGAGCAAGCGGTGAGCGATTTCGTTGAGCATTTCGGGGAGTGATAATGAGCGGAGCGGTCTTGCAGTACTCTGTACATCGCGTTTTCCTAAAGATCAATAAGAAATTGTTGCTTGACTGAAGTACACTCGTCTCTCTCTCTCTCTCTCTCTCTCTCTCTCTCTCTCCCCTTTTATAGTTGTTCTGTTGTGGATGGTTGTTCATCTGTCTGTAAATACATTTTTGAAAACGGTGTACTTTGTTGAGTTTTATTACACATTTTTTTCTAACCTATTTGAATCGTGCCATGACAAATACCTTATATTACAAAAAACTAAAACTAACACTAAAACTAATCAAAACTAAACTAAAACGAAACATTTTCAAAAACTGAACTAAACTAGCAAATCTTAAAAGCTAATAAAAACTGAAAATGAAAACAAAACTGAAAATTAAATATAAAAATAAAAATAATGAAAAATGCACAAAAAATGGTGAAAAACTTTAAACAAGCCTTTTCTCTCTTACATCAAATCGCACTTACTGTTTATTAGATTAGATTGGTTTAAGATGTTATCATGATCCTGTTTGTGGATGTCAATGTAGCCTTCAACTGTATCACAGCAGAATTCTTTTACATCTAATTCTATAACTGTGGATCACCAGCTTCCTGAATAATAGGAAATATGTGTACCAGAGTTGTCATCTATATACCACAAGGTCATGTGATCTGCCCACTAATGTTCTTCGTCTATACAAATAATGGTACTCCAAGAACCTGTCAATCACAAAACTTATAAGTATGCTGAAGAGATCACTCTTGTAGACCTAATCACTAATACCCCTCTTGCCCATTCCCAGAGTCAAGCGTTTCTTTAGCTCATATTAAATTGACATGTTATTGATTTTAACATATTTATTAACCTAATATTCTATGTAGTATGTATACAATTCATTGCAAAATATTTATTTGTTGTCCATTAATTCTCTGCACAGCATCTCTTTGTGAAGGCAGGCGTCTGTATATACACTATATATATAACTTAGGAAATAGATCTTGCCAAAGTAACTTACAGGGGCTACAATTAAGGTAACTTACAAGAGTATTACAAGAGTATTAACAAGAGTTTGAATTGACAGATAAATCCCAGTCTGTACTGCTTTGATTACTTATAAAACATGAGGCTATAGTCCAGCTGGGATCCAGTTGAAATTCTAGCAAATAAATTTTCTTTTAATTAAGGTTAATTTGGATTTTAATTAAGCAGCCTATCCCAGGAAGCAGAAGGTCCTATATAGTGCACCCAAGCCTGAATACACAGAGCACTTGTAAACACTAAGGTCAATTTAAAGAACCAGTTTACCTAAACAATATATTCTCAGATGATGGGAGGAAAGAGCATGGAAACTCCACAAACATACAAAGCAAGGGCATGAATCCCACCCACAGCCTTTTTAAATGCTAAATATGTATAGGTATTGCCAAATATTATGCTAATTAATAAATATCAAAATGTGTTATGTTTTACACCATGTTTTTAGACTTTTCTTGTGTTTGATATGGAAAAAACATGAAACTGACGGAAGAACTGGATTGTTTTTGGAGAGGAAATAAAAAAGAATGCCCAAGACATTTACCTTAAAGTTGAATAAATAAACAACTGAAGCTAAAATGGCCATCCCACTGCTACTACAATATACTTTAATGGCTCCACTTCTTTATCTATTGTTATAACCATGCTTCATTTTTATGTGATATTTAAGGGCTAACAAAGAACCATTTTCATATTGATCAGGTTAATACAGCTTTAGTAAAACAAATGTTCCACCTCCTTGTTTCGCTCCTGAAACATTGAACAAATTTGGAAGTAAGAAGGAAATGATAGCAGAGGGACAGAGTTAGCATTGGGTGGAGAGGGGCACTCAGCAAGGGGAAGCAGGAAGCCTGGCGGAAGGGATTAGAAAAGACAGAGAGTAAAAAAGTCATCACCTTGACTGTCCTACATTTCTGTCTTCCCAGTTTAGATAAAATCCATTCTCAAAAATGCTTATTCCATAAACTACCGCATTACAGCCTCAGTGGAAACTAACAAGCAAAAATCTATTTTTCGGTTTTGCCACATCAAAATTCTGTCCTTTTCTGTGTAGGACGCAGGACGTATGATAAACACAGGCTAGCACAAAACAATGATTATGTTCTATTTGTGGTTAATTGTTTGTCAATTACAATACTATTGTATCGTTTTTCTCATTTCTTACCATATGACCCAAAGTCAAATCCAGCTGGGACTTCCTGCATTCTGAAATCCTCCAGGTTAAAGTCGGCCTGGTACATGTTCATCTGTCAGTCATCAGCGGAGGGACAGAGTGATATTAGCGCAATGACATGTGGACGATATTCCTTATCCTAAAATACTACAACGCAGCCCGTTCAAATGCATTCGCTCCCGAAAAGTGCATTCTTTTTTTCCAAAATCAACAATAGCATAATTAATAGTACAACTCACAATACTAAAATAAACATTGTATAACAAACAAGAAAAAGATTTTCTGTCTGTTATGACTTTTATTTTTAAAAATGTTTAAATTCATATGGGTATTGATGAGCGTTTGCCCATCCGTCACAATAGTAAATAATATTGTGCTAATACATTACAATAACAAGCAATGCAATTTCAACTTTTATTACCTGTGACTTTCTAATTATAACAGTTCTGACGATGTATATGAAGATTGCAGTCCGGACGCTGAGGTAGGAATTTGCTGCCTGTCTCTCTCTGTTTCGGGACAGTTATAAAGAGAAGGCGCGCGTAGGGGCGTAGCCAGAGCCACCCAGAATGAATGCGCACTGCTTCGTGACTTCTGTCCCCATCGTCTTAATGTTTTATGACGTCAGTTGTGTAGGTAGCCTCTATTACTATTACTTAAAATACTCCAACTAATTAGAAATACTAACACGATAGTCATTGAGATACCTGTATAGAGCATGTTGCATACTCAGTGTTGAAAATACATGTGTTGTAGTAGTTTGAATTAAAAATTTCGGTGAATGAAGATTTCCAAAATTTAAGCCTGTCTTAAATTCCAGATATCTTGAATAAATTATATTATCATTGTTGACTCAAGTAATATGTATGTTTTATAGCTTTAAATATGTATTGAGAAGTATATACAATTTTACAATTGTCATAATGGTAATCACATCCCACAACTGATCACATCACAACTGAACTGTAAGAAAAAACTAGGTTTAAGAGAAATCGTGATACTGCACATAGATATATCGTATATTACAATATAATGTAATGTAATGCAGAAACGAATACTACAAAACATAAGTAGTAGGGAAAAACATAAAACTTATATAAAATTTAATAAATTAGGAAAGGGTTTTAATCATAAGTCTCAAAATGACAAAACGTATCAATCTGAATTGTCAAAATCCTGCATGCTTTAAAAGCCAAGAAACAAAACAATGGAGAGCTGGACGAGTATACAACTATGAAATCACAGCCTGAGTGGCAAGGGTAGATAACACTGGTTCAAAGACCTTGTATAAACAAACTGTCTCTGAAGAAAAAAAACACATCTGGAAAAGTTTGTCTTCATGCGGAGCTCACGGCACAAGAGACTCGAGTCGTGATTGACTGAACCCCCCCCCTCCCCCAACTCTCGAATACGAGGCACTTTCCGGATTACTATTGATATACAATAAAGAGCAGGAACTTTATTCTGTTTTTTTCTGTATAGTGTCCTTGTCAATACAATTATCTCACAGGTCTTAATTATTTAGCAATAATAGCATCCTTGACTTAAAACTCCCTTAATTTTTTCCACTGTAGTCAAAAAGATCCAGAGGATAACGTCGAGCATATATGGTAGACATCCCCAGGTCAATTAATTAATGAAGTTGTAGATGTTGCTGAAACTTAAGAACTGGGCATCTGAGAGGGATAGTCAACAGTCGGTTAGGCCGAACAGTTCAAAGGCATAGAACGAAACTTCTTGATGTCTTGATACCTTGCGTGTTTAGTGGGGTGGGGGTTCCAGGCTGATTTGGTCCCTGCCAAATCAAGTTGAAATCCAATTTAAGCCCGTGGACCATTGAACGTAGAGTTAATCTCTTCGGGTACGCAGTACAGGAAAGGTTATTGCTCATACCATGGGCGTCGCCGCCATTAAATCTGAGGTGGACGTGTCCCCCTCACATTTCATAATTATTCTTTTGGACCCCCCCACATTTAATATAAAATTTATGTTATGCTTATGTTATGTTATAAAATGTATGCCAGTGCACCCCCCCCCCCCCCCACACACACACACACACACACAAACACATTCAAAATGCTTCTGACGCCCCTGAGGCATAGCAGACACGCATGAAGTCATTCTGCAGCGGTTACTACAGGACCAGCACCGATAACGTAAAGTACAATGACGTGATTACAATACTATAATGAAAGTTAACAACAAGCAACATACGATAGAACGCTAAAAAAGAACACCATTCGCATAAATGCAAAGGTTATTTTAACTGGAAAATAATATATTTTGTAATATATTTTTAAATCGGTCCTGGCTGCAAATATTTTGCCATAAAAATAGAAATAATATAATCTTACAAGCACGACTAGAAAACAGAATTACAGCACAAATAAAATAACAGCAAACGAAGAGCACATTCGAATAAATTCAAAGAATAAATCTAGTCCTACTCCTTAAATATAACGGTGCCTTATTCGGTGCCTTATTCGAAAAATCGGTTCAAATTTAAATTGTTAAAATTGTTAATATTAGGGACGTGGACTTTGTGCGTTTGGCAAATGATTAATTAAAACAGAAATGCCGTCCTAAATAATTCTACATTAGGGCTTATGTCAAGCGATATTTAACTGTTTAAGTATTTTCGGAAATCAAAATAATATGGTTATAAGAAAATCAACTTTTTGCGCCGTTTTATGCACGCTTCACTTAAGAAATTTTAAGTAGTATCATGTGTGATTGTTGCAACTTTTATAAATTAAGGTAATAGGGCAAATTTAAGGTAATAGGCCTAAACATTCGCCTATATTTATCTTGTACAACAGTTTTCGTTCAGCTTAGTTCTCATAAGGATTCTATCCATCAGGAATCATCATCAATGACCCCGATCGGGAGCGTTGTGCAAACCAAATTTGTGGGTAGGCATCATTTCAAAACCACACACAAGACATAAAAATACACATACGCAGATATTATTGTTCTTATTCTTGAAACTTTAAGCAACTATTATATGTAATAGTTAAATGAAGTAAGCTAGTTAACGTCAGCCAGAAAATAATTTGCTAGTTGTGTTCAAATACGTGTTCAAGTGACATGGAGATTGAAAAGGCTGTGCTGCATTGGTGTTTGTGGCTAGCTGGCAATACTGAAGGACAGTGTAATGTGTAGAAGCAAAACTACAAACTGAGTTGGTCTGCCTTCTCTCGTGCTGGCTAACGTTAGCTAACTAACATTAACGTACGTTAATAACGCAGCTTCACAGTATATCTGCGCTAGGACAGATTACTTACATGGGGGTAAACTATAGGGAGGGTGAGTGTTTATAACCTCAAACCCTCCAATGCTCAACCCAATGCCCTGGATTACAGCGCTACCCAAGCATACATGTGCGTGATATATTTTGACAGTTTTAAGCTAACGCAACATGTCTGCGGAACAAAAACGCAGAAACAATTCTGTTTTATAGGCCTACTAGCAGTGACACATTTACTTCGCTAGCAATTGTAAACTGCTAACGATTGCTAACTTTGTTCACTGCCTCTGTGAAGTGAGATGTGAATGTCACGACATGATGCAGAGATATCGGTAAAAGACTGGAATGATGAGGGATGGGAGGGGATTAAGAGATGCGAATTGACGGAGGAAGCTCGCTTATTGGCCAGATTACCCTGACTACAAATTTACTGTCAGTTTAACGACGTGTTATTTACAGTTATGTATGGACGTTATTCTTATAATTTGTTATTGTTGAATAATTTACACGTGATGTTTTTACAAAATATTGGGTAGTGTATGCCTAAATTGATTGCCACTGTTCGAGACAAAATGCTTAAATTGAAGGAAAAAATAGCTTTGTTGGCTACGTTTTTAAAGTCCATAGTAAAAAAAATGCAAGAATCTGAAAAAATGCCAAAATATCCGTCAGAATTCTCCATTGTGGACCCCTGCCATCCATCCATCTATCCTTCCATCTATGCAAAACTATCCATCCTTCTGACAGCTTATTCTGGTCAGGGCTGCGAGGATTAAGATTCCAATCTTTATTAAAGACATTTATGATTAATACAGAATAACAAAAAAAGAAAGAATAGAAGAGAAAAATGCGGAGCTTGCAAGTAGGGTTGGCTGAGTCTTTGATTTTAAGCATCTTGTCCACTAGCGGAGTTCTTTCTTATTATAATGGAGTTGTTGAAAATGGATGGACACGTTCTATTAAATTAATCTATATCAAATAATGTATGTTTGTGTGCATTTAACCATGTATAATTATGTCCATTGTCCACACAATCTGTTTGTTTCAAGACAAGTGTGCCTTGAAAATAAACAAAATAGTTTGTGATTTTCTAAGAAACTAATATGACTTATTCACCAATAAGAAACTAGCTTAGATGGTTAGTGTGACTTCACTTCCCAATTTTAGACGACAGAGAGCGAAAAAAACATCGTCATCCGGTTATGGTCTTAGCTAGAATTGTTGCTGCAATGGTTTGCGCCGAAGCTTAAATGCGCCTGTGCAGAGAAGTCGATGTGGTTCACACTGGGCATCAAAGCCAATTAGGTATAAAGGACCAATTAAACCTGATACATGAACTACACAAACTGAGTGCCTGCTGCAATGGACTGTACGATTAAGGTAGGCGGTCGATGTGGCTGTGTTGCTTTTTAATGTCGCTTCTGAAAATGAGTAGAAATGCATATCCACCCACTGAGTCGGTTAGCAGATCTGTCTGCAGAGTGAGAGAGACGAGGCGGTGATGCGAGGTCCCCACTCTTTCCTTCTTGTACAAAATTTCCTCTTCCTTCCCGTTCGTGGTTGTATGTCGGCTCTTTAATAACACAAGAAACCACTACATCTTTTAGACTCAGATAAAAACTAAATGGTGTCCAGAACGTCTTTAGAATGGGATCCTTGAATTTCTTGTTCACGTTCGTTTTACTCAAGTTACTTTTCGGGATCAATTGGAATTAGTGAATTAATTTGACAGACTAGTTTTAAACTGTAGTTATTAAGTCTGCAACGCGTCGAGAATAGCAATTTTATAAAGAACGAAATGATATTACTTATCATTAAGCTGTCGCTTTGTGAAACTCAAGGGCGCACCCGAAGCAGGTGGCTCCCGCGCAACACAACTTGTGCTAAGGAGATTAATTCCAAAAGACTGGAGGATCTTATTCTGCGATATGACGGGTACATGTGTCTTGATTTTCCTTATATTTTATTCTGAACAGAAAATGCTAATGTGTTGCTGAAATGAGTTTTATGTTTTGTGTCCAAGATAATGAAACAATAGAATTACCATTCATTATAGTTCTTGGATAAATTCAGTTCGTAGACACAACATAGATTGCATTGTATTATCCTTGTTTAGAACTTTGTCAGTTAAGTACGCAGATTTCTTGTTTTTTTTTTTATTTAAAAAAACTAAAAACTGCACATACATTTACACATCTACACAGTAAACGCTTCTTTATATTTGCTTGCTTTAAGTTGATCGTGAGTAAAGATGAGTAAAAAAATGACTAAAAGGAAAAAAGCAAATTTATATGAAAATGCTCCTAAATTAAATTATTTCAACGCATTAATATCACGAACGATCAACTTTTTTTGACGTTGTTTATCACGTAATTTAATAGGTTGAATTTAACTCATTAGCTTTAACAAACTTACTAATCTTCACCGACGTTACTTCAGACAACTTTCTGTTATAAAATTTTGAACTAAAATGAATTAGTTTAGTTGTATCGAAACATTAATGTAACTCGTGATTATGTCGTTAAACAAAATTCACGAAATAAACGTCTGTATGACATTATGAAAAATGCTTAATAAGGCAAATCACCCAACTATCAAAAGTATGACGAAATATAGCCAAAGTATGTAAAAGGCTTTTAATAATACCAATAAAATATTTCTGAGCGCCGCAAACGTTATAAGCTTAGTAATACCACGATGGCGATTTCCTGTTTTTGAAACCTAGCTAAGCCCTGTTGCTCTACAAGTGTAGCTATATATAAAAAGATATCTGAGTGCGCGCGCGCGTGCGTGTATGTATCGGCAGGCTACTTGTTTATACAGGTGTGGCAATACTAATATGTGCAAAACAACTGGGTAAAGGGAAAAAAACTGCGGAGATGCGTGCAGGGTGGGGTCATAATTAAAGAATTCTTACAACTTCTCTCTTCGTTGTGCGCTGTATATAATATTGTATTTTATCCCTAATAAAATTTCTTTTGAACATATTACGACTGGTTTAAGGAAAGTTGGCACTAACTGTTTATCACCATTAAAATAGGTGTATGATTAAATGTAATTATTGTACTTAATAGTTCACATAGGCCTACACTGTACTTCAAATAGATGTAACTATTTCGAAATTTATATATGGAGAAATATTACATTTCGAATCATAAACTTTAACTGGATGTCGTGCTTTAAAAAATCCTTTTAGACCTTTATCTGACGTAGGCTACTATTTTTTGGAAACGGTAAAATGTTACTGTACTGCATTTAGTAAGTTACATGTTAGAATCAGTGTGGCTGTATTACCAAGAACTTCATAAAACTATGTATTATATAATGTATAACGTTTTCGTGTTGTGTTTCTAAGCATATTCAACCCTGTTATGAAAGACATTAATGCATAAACTAAGTTTTCAGAAATTAAACGAGCGCGTCACATTGTAATTAGGACTACATGACCAAAAAGTTTCGTTACTTATCGAATAAAGGAACAAGTCTGTTTAAACGCTAGTTAATTATTGTTTTGTTTTGTAAACATATTATCTATTTAAATTCTGACGGGTAGGCGTAAATGTCGCTGACCAAAGCATCTAGATTAATTCATGGCAGTGTTGTATTTACTTGCAAATAACTGTCACGTGTTTTTGCTGTCACATCCAGCACTGCTTAAATTGCGACCCGCTACCTGACTACGCGCTGCGTACAAAGGTTCGGTCTGGCCCATAGTATTCTTAAATATGTATAATTATATTGAACAGCGCACGTCCGTACTTCATGCCAAACCAAATATTCAATAGTTAATGTTTATAGATTTTAATTTAACTAAGGAAATTAAACCTTTGCATGTTTTTCGAGTGTCTGTTCAGAAAATAAGTAATACGTGTTTTTTTAACTACAATATGTAGGTACGACTACCACCCCACTATGTTCAGGGGCAGGCAGAGTTATTTAAAGAATAATTTGTACTTTATAGTGCTTGTCAGGTGTCGTTATCTTAACTCAACAGGCTTCCTGTTTCTAAACCTCAGACTTTCCGCACACATTTCCTCCCCTTTCAAATAAAAGGGAAAGAAAAAATAAAATTAAGAAATAAGACAAACACATAGCCTACGTACACAACCATATATACGGACATCATATGTAAATAAAGAGCAAAAAACGTATTAACGCCGTCATTCTTTGCAAAAATTTGTTTGTTTTTTTGTCTCTAAGGAGCAACCCGCGCTTTTTTCACCACCGCTGCTTGCTGCATGCATGAAAAAAAATTGTGAAAACCACATCATGTTTTTGCAGTTTAGGGTGCAGCTGCTCATCCCTTTGCAGAATCAGTTCGACCTTTTAATTTACTTCTGCTTTCTTAATGCTAACATTTCTTTATCCACTAGGGAGACTAACAGCCAAAAGCCATAGGTCTAATGATTAAGCTCATGGGCGTCGTTAGGTCCGATCATTCAGGGCTATGGCACCGAATATTTTAAGCGTAGCCCCGAGTATTTTAGCCCCGATGCCGGTTATCTTCCTTCCTAAAAAAGTCTAGCCCCAGATAAACTTTCAATAGCGTGAAACGCCCCTGTTTAAGCTAAATATTGCCGGTATGATTAAAATTAAATATCCAAATTATTTTTTCTGGAGCATAATGAAAGAACTTGCAACTAAAGGGAAAAGCAATATTCTCGAGGGTGACCTCATCAGCATACTGCATGAATGCTAAGTGAACGAAAAATAGTGTAAACAACCAAAATGACATCAACTTAGAAAAACAGAAATGCCCCACCAAAAACCAATGAACACTGAAACCTTTAAAATAAGCTTGTACATCAGTATCACACTAACAGTGGTTTTATATAATGAACATATGTAAATGCCCTGGCATAGACTTGAGCTCCACCAAGATAGTGGGTTATATAACTACCTACACCAAAAAGGGCAAATAATTTGTTTTAATGGCAGAAGCTGTATATATATATTTTGTTTGATTCATAATAGCTACAGGTAGAATCATGCTGGTTAACACATGGACATAAACCTGCCACTGTCTGTATTAAATTCTCTAAAGGATACTGATGCTCTTAGTGAACAGTAAATAAACTGAGATGAATGTATCACATATCATTTTGGCTCAGGTCATACATATTTTCTTACATAAGAAGTTAATTTTTCTGTTGCAAATTTAGCAACATGGCCTTGCTGTACAAGAGCTTCATAAACATTAAGTGCTTTATCCGAGGGATATTTGCATGATGAGTGATTTTAAGGAGCTGCCCAAAAGTCCATAAAAAATCTAATTTTGAAAACTGCATGCTCAGTATCGGGGTGGGGTGCTGGAGTCTATTCTGGCAGCATAGGACACAAGATTGGGGAACATGTTTTACACAGTGCAGGTCTGCAGGCAGGGTGCACACATACACTATCTGCACTTTAGGGAGAACCTGATCCCCAAGTTCAGAAGTAACCTTCAAATTCTGCAAACCCAGTAATTAAACTACAATACTAATTATATGCATAAATACATCATGTTCTCACCAATATGTATGCTTGTACTTAATTACTGATTCTACTATGTATACAAAAACCATACTAAATTATTTCATAAGGAAGTAATTGCTATTATTGTGTTTCAGTCCATTTGTTAGGTAGGTACAAAAAATGGATGGAAGAATGAATAGACTTTATTGCATAGAGATTTGCCCTAAATTATTAATAGGGAGATTAGGTCAGCCTCCCATGCTGAAATTTAGTACTATCATTGGTGACTATTTAAAAATATAAGGTATATTTTAAAAATCTTAGTTGAAGCTTAGTTATGTTGAATCTTAGTTATAATTGTATAAAAATTAAATGACTTTTAGGAAAATACCTACATTTGATAAGATTTTGTAATCTACAGTCTCATATTTAGTTTTTAAAACGCTTATATGAATGCTGTGTTGTTTCATGGTAACAACCATTCTTCCAAGAAAAAAAAATCTATTTCATGAAAACTTTGGATGTTTAATCCTGGTTTTGTTCAAGCTACTATAAAAATCTCATCTCATTTGCAGAATATGTGCCAACTGAGCATACAGTTGTCATTGTCGGATAACTGGGACTGATGTGAAACTCAATGAACAGGAAGTCTGTTGTGGTAGTGGTGGCCAGGCTTCAATTCTGCATGTGTATTTCAGTTTTAGAGACAGCGAGAAAAGAGGGGCCGAGAGTTTGTGTGTTTGTGTCGGTTTGTGTGTGTTTATCTGTGGCTGTGGTTAGGTGTGCACATGTGCAAAGATGTGACTGCTAGTGCATCTCCAGCCCAAGAACTATTCATGCTTCTTGCAACAGAATGCATCGTTTGTCATATGAAACAATTTTTCCCTCGGACTTCAAAGTGAGCTCAATTTGTGAAGTAAAAAAAAAAAACATATATATTAATTTGGGTAAGGAAAGAACAGAGCTGCTACATTGCACTGAGCATTTATAGCACCCACTGCAGTTTCACCTCTGATAATCGTACCAGATTGAAGTCATTGTGTTGCCATTTTCTTGGTTGTTTCACTTCTCCAATAGGCGAGGAAAAGGGCAAATCAGCAAATGAGCTATTTTAGCTTGACAGGCACATGCTAAAATGCAAGTCTAAATATATTAATTAATTTGGATTGAATGTCTTGTATTTTGATGCTGACCTTGTTGTGGTTGTAATACACATTCTGTTGAATTATAGCATATATTGTGCATCAAGCCAAGGTCTTAGGGTTGTGTCCATTTAGCAAGTTAGCTCCACATATGCTTAAATAACAATGACTTGAAAATAATTAAAACAATGAAGTAACACAGCACAGACTTTAATAAAGGCTGTTTCCTTTCAAATCACATAAAACAGCCCCCACAACCAACCTATGACCTATTCAGTACAATTTTGTTTTCCAATATTATATGACCCACATTTCCCAACCCCTGCCCTATTCCAAAAGGTTACTGTGCACAAAGAGCTGGAGATTTCCTGTAGGACTGTAGAATGTCCACTTGTGACATACAGGCATTAAAGACAATATCAGACACTCCAGCACCCTTCACAGCACATTACACATAAGTGTGCTACTCCTTCCCTCTACCCTAACCCTCACACAGATAACAGCTAGCAATTTTAAAGACAGGAAGTTGCAAAGGAACGGTTTCTACAATCTTGATTTAAGTCCACTGGTTCTTACCTTCATTGCAATCTCCTCCAGAGTTTTGCCTGTATTTTGGGCAGGTTTTTTTTTTTTAATAGAGTTTGTTTTGAGTTTTTTCCAGCTCTAAGTTTTCAAAAGACAAAGATCACTGTGAGAACCCATGTTGTACACAATGGAGCTCTAGCGGGCATGCTAAGTACAAAGTGAATGCTAAGTGAATGCAGACATATGTCTGCCTACCCAGAAAAGTTCATCCCTTACTTTATGCATCACCACTGTCCATGTCTACCTGTAACACTTAGCCCATTTTTGTGTGCATGTCCACAGGAAGCTCTTTCTGTGGTAAGTGAGGACCAGTCCATTTTTGAATCATCCTACGGGCCCCCAGCAATGCACATGAAAGAGGAGATGACGTCTTCCAGGGAGTTTAGTCAGACCTCTAAGGAGAGCCCTGAGCCCACAGAGCCAGAGTGGAACCCTGCCAAGACTGAAGCAGAGCACATGAATGGCTCCAGGTATGTTAGATAAATACCCATCCATACATCCATCCATTTTTCATACCTGTTTGTCTTAAGTTTTATAAGAATATAAATATAAAATGCTTTAAATATGTCTAATACTTTTATATTTAACAATGCATGCAACTAAATATATTAATTGCATTGGGTTTTATCTGCTTGACGAATTACAGATTCATTTTTTCCCTGTGTGTTTCTTCCAATTCTATAGCAGAGAGTCCCCTGTAGACTGCAGCCTTACCAAACGATCCCGGCACATAAGCGGCAGTGAGGCCGGACAGCTGGCCTACCAGGCCTCATTTTCTGACACCCGCACCAGTCCCCAGACAACCGCTGCTCATAACAGCACCACTGATGAAAAGAGAGTCATTGTGCCTGCAGGTATGTCATGCAACTGCAAAGTACGTGTAAAAAAGTGTTACAAAATAAATGGAAGAGTGGTTCTGCACACCTTGCATATTGATAGTTAAATAAGTAAATGTGCCAAAGCAGACTTTAGTGTTTAAAAACCACAATTACATGAGTGTGTTGAAGTAGAAAGTTTAACTGCAGTTTTGAACCACAGCATTGTCTGTTATATTAGGAAACTAACATTTTGTTCTTAATTGTGCTATTAATAGTTATTTTGCGATAGAAACAAATATAATGAATATTTTAAGAACTTAGAGGCACCCTCCAAGGATTACATGAAAATGTGAAAAATACTATAGCTTTTTTTTCTGCAAGATTTGTTTATTTGAGCATTTGAGTATAAGGTTATGTGGCCAACACCAGTGTTATGCAAGATACTGAAAATTAGTAATTAGTTACAGTTGCCAGTTATTTAATTGAAAAGTGATTCAATTACTTTACCAATTACTACATAGAAAAAAAGTAGTTACTAGGAAAAGTAATTTTTGCATTACTTCTATTCTCTTGTTAATGCATACATACCCAGACAGCACACAAACATCGCCGTGACGTTGCTTTAAGATGGGAATGTCATTGAATTATTTCAATCCAATTTGTCTTAACAATATTTAAATTATTAAATATGTTAAAGTGAGGGGCGGCATGGTGGTGCAGTGGTTAGCACTGTTGCCTCACACCTCTGGGACCTGGGTTCAAGTCTCCACTTGGGTCACATGTGTGTGGAGTTTGCATGTTCTCCCCATGTCATCATGGGGTTTCTTCCAGGTAGCCCAGTTTCTCCTCACAGTCCAAAGACATGCTGAGGTTAATTGGAGTTGTTAAATTGTCCTTAGGTGTGCATTTGTGAGTGAATGGTGTGTGAGTGTGCCTTGCAATGGGCTGCCCCCCCCATCCAGGGTTGTTCCCTGCCTCATGCCCATTGCTTCCAGGATAGGCTCCAGACCCCCACAACCCAGTAGCATAAGCAGGTTGGACAATGGACAGATGGATGGATGTTAAAGTGTATTTCAGCACAATATATGCTATAGTACAACAGAACATGTACTAACAACCACAACAAATTTAGTATCAAAATACAAGATATCTAGTCCAAATTAATTAATATGTTTAGACTTGCATTTCAACATGTGCCTGACAAGCTGAAATAGCTCATCTGCTTTTTCGATACTTGTTTTAATCAGTTCAGTACAAGTGTCTATTGTTATTTGTTCTGTCATGGCAATATTTAAAATAAACATGTTTTAATCAGTCAAATTGTTTGTATTGTGGGTTATACAACTTGATTGGGAAAAATAACGGGAGGCTAAAGGTGACATAGTAATACCAAGATCATTGTCTTGTTGAAATACATTGTGCAGGCATCAGGGGAATGTCAAATCAGTATTTGGTAGCAATGTCTCAGCGATATTGCCAGTGAACAAATGACCTCAGAGATGCTTTGCCAATGGACTTAAAGCATCATTGAGACATCATGCCTATGCATCCGTGTCTGGGTAGTTCTATTATTTTAGTGTTGCTCCTGTAACAGTGTGAGACAACGCAACTGTCAAATTTTATCTATCACTGTCCCTAATATCACCCACTCATTACAGCAACCATAAGGTCAGACGACATTAGACTATAAACAGGAAATTAAGGGAATAGGCTGTACTTGTCCGTGAATATTTTCAAGCAATCCAATAGTAATGGAACCATTTAAAATTTCAGTACTTTTAATTGCATTTTTTTAATTTGAAAAGGTAGTTAGTTATATTACTGGTTACTTACAAAAGTAGTGGAATTATAGTAACGAGTTACCAACACTGTCTAACATAGGATAGCATGCTTGGCAAAAATGACTCATATGAAACACATTGCTGTGCATCACCAGCAGATCATGACATATGCTTTCATTCCATGCATTTATGAATGTAAGATCTGGACTTTGTGGTTACTCAACTCCTGCTGTAACAATGAGGAACACTGAGCCATAGAGTGAGAACTGGCTACCGTACTTTGGTGTATCACCTGTACTTTCATTTTAGATCATTTCTTTTGTCAGTTATAACATTTTACTAGAAAGTACATTTTGTGATGTAGAAGTCACAATTAATTTCAATTCAATTATTTAAAACTAGTCTTAGAGTAGATGTTTACATTTTTCCACAGTGTTTCCCCCAGGTATAAATGGATTATAGCGGTTAAAATACCAATGTTGAAAAGATCATAATTATATATGGTGGTGATCAAAATTAGAGAACAAGAGATGTTTTTATAATATACAAAGTCACCACTTATCCGAATTAAGTTATTCTAACATGAAGAGATGTATTTTAATCATATTTCATCAGTGAAAGCTATGGCACAAAATAAATGGTTTCAACAAGAAATCTGAAGAAGGTATGTGATTAAAATGATTTGTTATACTTCAGTTTTTTTTTATTTAATCTGAAATATCTTGAAATATCTGGCAACCAAAATCTATTTGGCAACACTTGTAAGCATTTTGCATGATGGTGGACCTCTCCAAGGTGCCTGAAACCCTTTGACGACAGGTTATTCAGAAGAAGGCTAATGGGATGACCCTCTTAGCCACTGGAAGAGAAGAGGAGAACTGGTCCAAAGTTAATTTCAGTGATGAAAACAAGTTTAATTTAGTTGGCACATTATTTGTGGCATTGATTTCAGGAAAGACTCCACTAAAAGTGTGCGAAAGTCAGAAAAGTTGGGAGGGCTAAGTGTCATGGTGTGAGGTATGTTCTCTGCCACTGGAGTCAGGCCTCGCATATGGCTACATGGTAAGGTGAATGCTAATTAGTATCAGAATCTCCATCATCAACATGTGGTTGATTCCTTACAAGCATTACCAAGTCAGCCAGTCATTTTTGCACAAGATAATGCCCCTTACCTTACTGCAAAATGGGTGAGGCAATTCCTCAAAGCTGAGAACATTAAGAAGATGATATGGTTAGCCCAGAGTCCTCATCTGAACCCTGTCAAAAATATTTGGAAGGTAATTAGTGACAAAATTTATGGCGAACAAACCTACTACAGTTACCAAATTGTGGAAGAAACTGGAAGAAGAGTGGAACAAAATCAGAGCAGTGTGAGAAATTGGTTATGTCTTGTAAGTGCCGATGTGCCAATCATTGAAAGCAAGGGCCTCTATGCTTCCTATTAATTTCCAAAAGTTGCAATCATCAAAAGTTGACAAAATTAATTTGTAGGCTTCTTCTATTACAATAAACAAACCACTCTAATTTTGATTGCATGCCTTCAAATTTGCTTAAGCAATTTATTCAGTGATGTGGCATACTTTTCACTGATGACATGATTAATACACATCTCTTCTATTCATGATAGAATAACTTTGAATTTGAAACTTTGTACATTACAAAAACAACCCTTGTTCTCCAATTTTGATTGCCATTGTATCTCTTGTTCTGAAGAGTTGTATCACTAGCCTATGCTGACTTATGCTAAACTCATGAGAATAATGGATACACTTTTATAGTTGAATTGTCTGACTAAAAAACATTTCTAACAAACATTCCATGTAACACCATAAATACAATGAATTTTTACCAAGTTTGTTTAGAAAATAGCCTGTATATGTGGCTCTCCATTTCAAATCCTGTGGTCGGCAGAGTGATGTGACCATTAGACCCTTGAGCAAGGCCCTTAACCCCAATCACTCTATGGACTGGCAGACCCTGTATTCTTAATAATATATTGCTTTTGACAAAAATATCTGCCAAGTAAATAATTGCTAGTCTCTTACTTAAATACAAAGCAGATAATGTTAAACAAGCATAATAAGCGCTATTTTATTTATATATGAGCAATAGAGAAACGTCAGCCTTACAGACATTCCTCCATTAACCCATATTTGAAAAATAACATGTTGAAATGATATTAGCTTAAGATTTGAATCATTCAATTACAAATGTTTCTAATCAGCTACTCTGACATTACAAAATGATGATTTTTTTAAATGAAGTGAATTGGTACTTTGTCATTTGTCCAAGTATGACTAAAGGTACACAAGAATTCTTTAGTTTACGCATATCCCATCATCCTCTCCTTTTGACACATGCATATAAACAGGTGAGAGTGAAGTTTGGGGTCTGAGCACATGGTCAAGCCATTTAACTGGCATTCCAGGAGCCTTTTGTTGGGCAAAAGGTCCTCATATCCCCAAGGTGACAGTTCACTGGCACACTATCAAGGGTCCAGGCTTGCCTTGAGCAACATGACCCAACATGACCCAACCGCAGCACAAATTTATAGATTTTAGATGATGAACTGGCAGCATGTAAGTAAAGCTTTCACTTTCTCATTTGCCAAAATAGACAATATCCTCGAATATTGTGAGGCATATGGTTTCATATGCAGCCGTTATAGAACAGATTTTAGGGCATTACAATGTGGAGTTACAGGGAAGTGTTATTCCTAAGAGTCGACCATAAAAACTATTTTTGTCAACATAATACAAGGATATTATGTCACTGTTGTATGCTAAACAAGAACAATGAAAATGCAGAAGCCAACACCCCAGCTACACCAAACAATTGCTGTGGTAACATTTTTCTACTTTGGACAGTTTTACCAGCTTAATGAGCAAATCTATTTAATACACATCAGACAATTCAGTAATGTGTGACATTTAAGAAAAAAATCTTCTCTTAATCTTTTTAAAAATAGCTAGCCATTGAGCAACATTAAATACATACACAATCACATACTAAGTGCAAGCGATGCCACGCATGCAGCATGAGGGTAACATCAACTATAAATTCAAAGCCCTAACCCTGGAGGTGTGAGGTCACAGTGCTACCCAATGCACCACTGTGACACCATCATGCTTTTATAAAAGTCTCAGGTTTTAATTGCAAATTTATGGATTGCCTTTAAACTCATTACAAACAGTTGCTAGGTGACATTTTACACTATATCTTTTTGGATGCTTAATGTTTGTCATTGCACACAATATGCAGTAAACAATTCGCTGTATTATACTTACAGTAAAATTATGTATTGGTAAAAGACACAATAGTGGTGTTGGTGGACTTCCATTTTTCTGGTTTTACCACATTAATAGAATAATCTGAATATATGATATTAATCAAAGTATATCCTTATCTAATATTCAATTCAATTCAATTCAATTTTATTTATATAGCGCATTATCACAATAGTACATTGTCTCAATGCGCTTTACATTTCTGTCACGTAAGGACCCCCCATTGAGTAAGCCAAAGGCAACGGTGGCAAGGAAAAACTCCCTAAGAGGAAGAAACCTTGGGAGGAACCAGACCCAAAGGGGGAGCCCATCCTCCAGGGGCCGGCAGATGAGTCAAACAAAACAAGATTTAATGACTAAGCTAATACAGGGGTTGAAATATCAGTCTCAATGCAGCGTCCGACCAATATGCAAGGGCTGTACATTTTTCATTTTGTTGTACCACCCAAACATCATTTGGTTTCTTGGAAGACATTCTCATGCCTTAGGCTGTATGCCTCATGGTGTCTCCCCCCTCCCCCATTTTCAGACCCTGAGGTGTGGATGCAGGACCACGTGAGGCAGTGGCTGGAGTGGGCAATTAAAGAGTACTGCCTAGTGGACGTCGATGTGTCTCTCTTCCACTCAGTGGATGGAAAGGCTCTCTGCAAAATGACCAAAGACGACCTGATGCACCTCACCTCAGAGTTTAACACCGACATCCTCCTCTCACACCTCAACTACCTCCGTGAGAGTAAGAAGCCATATTTGCACAACACTAACACTAGGGTGACCAGATAATCCATGTCAGTGAGGACACTTTCTGCTAGAACAGGGTGTGTAAATTACCATTTCAATTAAAAGGCTCTGGATTTAATTTAAGCACAGAGATCTTGCTATGTGCTGATTGGTCAGTCTCCTATAATCATGCATGTGTCACTAATATTAGTGTGAAACAGCTGGATGAGTCTTTCATTCAAAGAATTTAGTGATTAATTGTCATTGTTAACACTCCACAATGAAATGTTCTCTGCATTTAACCCATATGTGATATAGCAGGGGACAGCTAATTCAGCACCCAGGGAGCAGTACTTGGGGGTGGTACTTCCATGCTCCACTGAACTCTTTAGCTAAGAACAGGAGTCAGTTTTAAAGCGGTTTGCAAAATCTGAAGTAGCTAAAACTGTCCCTGACATGGAATATCAGGTCATCCTAACCAACACTAAAATGTACAATGTACGATATGTACATGGACTGACGCATTTATATGTAAATTCTACAGCAAAATACGAGATGCAATCCACACTTTTATTTTAGCGAAGTACTTTTCTTGAACTAAACTCTTACAGAAACTGTTTCTGTATTTAAGTATTTATGACAGAGGTATATTTTGCTGTTACTAGCTTTGGTCAATCTGATGAATACATCTGTCACCTCCCTACACAGCAGCGTTTAACAGTCAGGATGAGCAATAGTTTCTTGAAATTGGCATTGCTTTTAAGAGTGGTTTCTCGAAAGCCTACCTAACTATATGTTTCAAGAATCCTTTCTGTCTCATTCTAGGTAGCCCCACCTTCTCCTGTACCACAACACCAACCAACACACAGCAGCAGCCCCGCCTACAGGTCAAAGCAGGTAATAAACACCAAACTTGAACTTCACTGTTGCACAACTAAACACTCCAGGGCAAAAAAATTTGCCAAACCCAAATTGCACAACATTAAGCTTTGACCCATTTCTTTCCACAGGAGTGTGCAACCTTTCATTGTCAGTGAGATATAGGGAAAATATATTTTTTTTAAATTAAGATTTAAAAGTATATTAAAGAACATAAGGTTGTGGTAGTCATGTCATCTCAAAATGGCAACTGTACATGTAAAGCATGCAGCAAACATAAAACAGTCTGTTCAGAGTCATTTGCAATGACATCAACCATACCACAAACAGAAATATGGAATTTGGCTGACACATTAGCATACAAGGACAACTGTGGAGATTGATTTTAAATGCATCTTTGAGCTCTACATTGAATAATCACTCCTGTAATTACAGTGATAAGGAATAACTAGGTGAACCCTGTGGAATTACCTAGTTTTCTGCATCACATTCTCTCCCCGGATTATGATGGGGTTACATTCTGGCAAACCTATCATAAGGAGAAAACGCAGTACATCTAACCTAACAAACATCATAGCCCAGCCTAGCCTACCTAAAACATGCTTAGAACACTTACATGTCACAGCAGGGCATAGTGAAAGCAGGAAATAAAGATGATGATCCACTGGTGGCTCTGAAACAGAGAAGGGGGTTATTAAACAAAAACAGGGCACACTGGGAAACCACAAAATAAAGGGACCACAGGGGGTCAGAGCTCAATAGAAAAAATAACTAAAGAAGCTATAAATAAACAAACTAGGACAAACAAGGCAACACAGAAAACAGAACTAGAAAGACAAATCAAAGCAACTACACGCAGTAACATAGTAGAGCACAGGTGCCTAATAAATTGACTTACTGAACAGCAGGACAAAGGCTGGCACTTAAATACAGTGAACGGAGATGGAATATTATATCTTAGATTTATTAGCTCCGTATAGTAGAAGTCCAACTAGGCAAAGTCGGGCTCTCACAGCCACACAGACAATGTTCATTACCTTGAGATATTTTGCAAGCAGCACTTTTTTGTATACTGTAGGCGATGCGGAAAATATATCAAAGAGTACAGTTTGCCAGGCAATGAGGAAAATCTGTTTGGGCCTGAAATATTTCGTTCAGGTTGTCATTGTTTTTCCCAGACACCTGCGAGTGCAGGCAATTAAAGAGGCATTTTATGCCTTTGCAGGTAATGTATACACAATTAAAGTTACAGTTCTATGCCTTTTTCTTCTTAGCTTCAAACGGAATGTTTTACGGAAGATTTCATATACATAAAATTAAGAAACACACGCACACACATATATATATATAACGATTGATCCTTTATTGTCCATGTGGGAAAATTCTTTTTTACCCCTCCCTCAACTTGCTCTTCATAGAACAAGCTGTCTGTGAAGGGCAGCCACCTGCTGGGGTTAAGGGACTTGCTAAAGGAACCACAGATGTCCTGAGCCTGGGTTTGAACTGGTGACCTTGTGATTATAGGCACACAGGCTTAGCCCACTGAGAGACACACACACACACACACACACACACACACACACACACACACACACACACAC